TGCGTGCTACTTGGCCTGCCTGGTGCCGTCCTACAGCCGAGAAGCTTGTGCAAGTTTGCTGTGCCCGCAACAAGAGTTTCTCCCATGTAGCATGCTTTGGATTCCTTCAATGAATTTTCTTCTCCACGCTGAACAGCCGAATCCTCGCGACTGTTTGCACTTGACAGCAGGCCTCAGCGCGCAGCGTTTCAAGAGCTTTCGCTTTGTACCATGAGTCATGGTCTCGTGAGTTTATTTCTCTCAGGTTCGACCTCCTGCAGCGGCCTTGCTCAATAGTGCTCCTCTTCCGCAGGTGGTCAACCAGAGACGTCTGTGTAGTCTCCCGAGTTTCGTAGTCACAGTCAAAAGCTTTCAGGCTGCCAGGTGTTGTGAAGGGGGTGCAGATGGTTTGCGCATCATGAGCATGATGATATCAATCGCCACCATTATCGTCATCAAAACTGCCGCCACATCCACCTCCACCACCATTGCTGTCGCCCACCATCATTCTCGCTTGCCGTCTCGTCACCATAATGCCATGATGCCTTCGTTGCTGTCCATATGGGAACAAAACCTCCTCCTCCTCCTCCTCATTATGAGCCTTGATGGCCAAGTGGCCGCTTCACCGAGTGAAGCTTTTGGGCCCTCCGATAAAGTGGAGAGTAGCCAGGCGGGAGGCAAAGAATCATAACCACAACCGGCATCGCGGCGTCACTCACAAACAGGAGGTCTAGGTGTGAATGTGGCAGCGCCGGCACTGACCAGGGATGTTGACAAATTCAGTTTCTAGCAGACTGTCTTTTTGATGTCGATTTAGAAGCTTAGGGTTGTAGGGCTTCAGGGGTTGAGGGTTTTTGGATACACGTGCAAGGCTTTTGGGGCTTAAGGGCTTCGGGAACCAGTTGATTGGGCCTTGTGACAAGTTTGTTCTGAACGTGGGCCTATAAGACTTTTGGAGTTTCCCGGCACACAAATATTGGTAGGGTAGAGTCTGCAAATGGTGCAGCAAGAAGTACAATAATACTCGCCATATGCCAGACCGGAAGAGAGATCTGAAGGTGTCCAGTATCTCTCGCTCTCTATGCATGGGTGTGCATATCCTGTGACAAGCTTGCCTTTGAAACGGGCCCCTTGCGACGCCTCTGCGCCGCTTTTCTGCTTAACCGATCGCAAGTTGTCCTAGGCATCGGGAGCTTCCATCCGACGACGCGTCCTGGCTGTCAGTCGGAGTCGAGGTTTACAGGTTCGGGATAAGTGGGGAATCCTGGCCAGGAAGAATCAAGAAGTATGTAATTGGGGGTCTGCGTGAACCGCAACCTACACGTGTGATCGTCTGCGGTCTCCTTCGAAACGGACAGCTCAGGAGCTGTTGCAGCTGTTCCTGCAAGATACCATCGACGCAGGCTTCTTAACTGCTAGCGAGCCGAATTAGTCTCGAACTATTTTGAAGTTTTAGCTCGTAGCGGCGGAGAGCTGCGGGGCCCAAGGCCTGCCATCCGGGTGGTTAGCATGCTGGATGTAAATGCGACATGCAGAGCAGTGGGTGTACTTACAGGGTTCAAAAGTTTAATAATTTAAAAGGATGTAAGAGGACCCGGCACCTTGTTCCAATAATTTTAGCTCCTGCCTTTAGTTTATCTGAAGGATTTGCAGGGACCCCGTGAGAGGGAGCTTGGCAGAGCCAAAGGACGCGCAACTGCCGCAGATTGCTGCCAAAGATTCCAAAATAACCCGGAATGTCAAACCCTGATACAGGAGCGCAACTTTTGAGGATGTTCCATCTTCCTTATTCCGAGACAGGTGTAGGAATCGCGTCCCGCAACCTGGTTGTAGACATTGTTCGGCTCTGCGCCGCCGACATGGTGTAGACTTACCTCGGGGACTCCAAGTTCTGTCGTCTCCGGCAAGCTTTAAGGGAGGAGCTAGACCATAAATGCAGAATCCCAACAACTGTAGTCTGAGCCTGAGGGCGCACATCTTAAATGTAAGCACCACATGTGCATGGAACTCTTGGCGACCTTCTGCCGTGCGCCCGTCGCTGTTCCTACCAGGCCCCGGTTTCTCGAAGCTTCAGTCAGTCTGCATGCTACAGGGAAGCCTGTTGGGATGGACAACTAGAGTCCGAACCAAGCGCCGAACCCAAACTCTAGTCGCTGGCTATCCTAAAACGTCTTAGAGCTGGTGCCACAGCCAGCGGGCTTTAAGATCTCGTTTTGAGTGCGATCTGGTTTCCATGCCATGAGAGGTGTGAGAGTTTCTAAACCGCAGCAATTCATTCGTGGCATCAGTGTGCACAAACTGCAGCGAGTTCATTGTGGCGCTGCTGTGGCCCGCTGCATTATCGCATACATACAACGTGAAAGGGCAGAACTACTCAACTTCGTCTGCTTCAGAGAAGCCGGGACCCTGATTCAATAATCTCGACGGGGAAAGCCCGGCAAGAAATCGCTCCACGCCCTGCAGATCAACCCTGGAAAGCCGAAGTCTTCTGGGACCCAAAGTTTTGTAGGCTGCGGGGGAGGAGCTTGAGTTAGCGAACCATCGGATTTAGCTAGGAATAGCGTGGCCGGGGATTCTCGAACGAAGCAGCCGAGAAGTGCAAGCAAGCACAACCTCCTCAGTAACGGTTATGCTGTGCACATCCCATGCTGCCCCGATGCTCAAGTTAGTCTTAGTGTTTCATGCAGAACCGAAATTACAAGTACATGGGTGCTATCGTTGATCTTCTTGAGAATCCCCGAACATCGACACTGCCTGCAGTGCGACGAAACATGACGGCTGTGCACTCCTGATCCCCCTTCCGCTCTGAGGCGGCGTTCTTGTTAAGAATCTCAATTTTAGGATAGTGCCGATAAGTACTCATGTGCTAGAGTCATCCCTATTATGCTCGCTTACAGTACTTTCCTCAACAAGGATTCAGCCTTCGGAGTCCGTAGCGTGGTAACAGAGGTGTGGATGTTGAGAACTGCGACTGGCATGTTGGCTCCGATCGTCACCCTTTATGGTCATACTCATATTTGTATAGCCAGGTGATAAAGACATAGGTAGATGCCTCTGCATATATACATACATCATCCGTGCGTTCATCCATCCATCTATCTTTTTTCGTCTGTACGTGTGCAAGACGCACATATACATTCAACCATGCGAGTTTACACAGTCACATGCGCCCATTTATGTACTTACGGTACTTATGTGCATACATGCATGCATGCAGGCAGGCCCACACAGTCAGATGCGTATACACGAAATCTAGTTTTTATCTTACACCAACCTCTTAAATCTTTGTAATTTGCTATTTAGATGTGTGAACAAAGGGCAATCGGATACATACATAGACTCATTGTGGAAGTCTGTGGGTTCCCATTCTACGCACATTGACATCTGCCACAAAAGCCAAGTACTCTAATAGGCCTGGGGGTTTATGCGAGTTATAGCGTGCACTCAAGCTCAACATCTTGCGACGAAAGTAAAAAAAGCCCTTGACAGTTTGCAGAGAATGTGTGTGTTGTTTTCCACGATAAAGTATATCTGCATAATGTGACCCATGATCTGCCATACAACGTGCAGCTTGCGCACGATACACAACTTGTGCACCAGAAGAGCTCATCCACCAGGACCACTGCAGTTGTTATCTATGCTGGCGCAGTTTGTTGGTTTATAACTTGGAGTGTTCTGTACGGTTTCGTGCCCCTTTCGCGCACCGGTCTTCTGGTGAACTGTTGTGTACTCTACTTTCAAGCATTTAATCTATGATGTCGTGTCGGTGAATGTGCTTAAGTGGAAGAGTATGATGGAATGCAGCGGGAAACTCTGGAACAGAGCTGGCCAAAAGTATGCAATGTCGTAGAAGATACTGCAATGTGGACGATCAAAGGATATCTCGTACACCCGCCCATACTTTTTGCAGCCGTGCATGCAAGCACATGCATATAATGCAGTACCCTGCCTATTGCCAAGGATCCACCCTGTTTCCCGAACTCTAGGTTCGGAGAAGCCATTTCCAGATGGCGGTATGCATGCGGACTTCTATAGGCCGCTGCAAGAGCGGAGAACCCACGCAGCGGGGAGCGGGGCACAGAGGCACAGGTACATTGTGTTCGTGTATGTATGTACTGGTACATGTATATGTGTATACATCTCTCTCTCTATATATATATACATATATATGTATGTATCTATATATATGTATATATATATATATGTATGTATATAGGTGTATATATGTATATGTATATGTACATATATATATATATAAATTTTTTATTTATTTATTCAGAAATGTATATTCACACAGAGACACCTCTGGATTTAGAATATTCCTTTTCACATATTTCGATGCTTACAGTACCCCTTTCTATGCCAGACGCCCAGCTCTTCCACTGCAACATCCGGACCCTAAGCGCTTGACCTGATGCCCCGGTAGCAAGCTCGGACCCTTTGAAGCGATGCTTGCCTTGTGCGAGTGTGTGAGTCGAAACCCTTGACCTCGCCCAGGCCGTACCCCACTGCACATCTGCGCCATTCGAGACAGCGCCGGGGTGGCCAAGGCCAGGTTGCAAGGAAAAGACCTCAGGTTTTGTCGGTTGAAGCTTATCATAACTTTACGAGTAGCTCCAGACTCCGAGTCTATGGAGTTTTGTGGGCGATGTAAGTCCGTTCAATTACGATGTTCTCTCTGTGGACAGGTGCTCCTGGAATATTCTGCCAGCTTGGAAGCCCTCTGCGATCCACCACAGGCAGGTGAAAGTTGGATAGATAATGCATTACATATAAGTATATGTGCGCACACATTCGTGTATGCATCCGTTTATTCAATATATTCTGGAGCTATCAGGCCATGTTGGACCCCTTTGATCCAGGTGTGTTTGGCTCAAGCCAGAATATTTTGCCAGACACGCGTAGACGAGATGGGATTTTCTGCGAAGCTCTCCAGCTCCCGCTTCTGCGGTGCTGTGCTCCTGGCCCTGACGTTGGGGCGAGTTTTGTACTCACCATGCGTTCGCCGCCTTTTCCGCAACATGACGCTGCCGGGCATTCCTGATGCCGTGGCGCCAAAGTATGCAACCTGCTCAGACTCCGATCTCGTCCAGGGCGTGAGTTTGGTGGTGACAGTTAAGGACACCTGCGCTCAAGCAGAGGAACTGCTGACCCACCTCTCCACCATCTTCCCCAAGGACATGCACGTCTACTACGCCTACCCCGCCATCCGCGGCTGCCGGCACGTAGACACCCAGAACGTCGGCAACAAGCTCTTCACGCACTTCACAGAGGTAGCCGTCGGTGCGGCAGATGCACCAATTGCTGGCTTCCTGAAGGTGCAGCCCCTGCTGAAGACAAAATATGCTGTTCTGATGCACAATGACGCCTATCCCATGGAGCGTGACTTCGCCTGCGAGCTTTTCCGGGCGCTGGAGGCGAACCCGCACTACCCCATCGCAGCTCCGCAGATCTACGAGGCCGCTAGCGACAAGGTCATCGTGCCTCATGGGCATCATCAGAACTTGCATGTGCGGCCATCGCCTACCAGTGAAACAGGCTTCAGAATCGATTATGACCTGAGTCTGCACCTGCTGACTCAACGAAAGCCGGAGGACTTCCAGGAGGGACCTCAAGTCGACTTCTTGGAGGACCACGCATTCTTCGCGCGATCCGATAGGTACCACGAGCTCTTGGACCCTGCTGGATCCTTCACCCTAGAGTATATGGACATGATCCTCAACATGCGTGCTCGCAACACCTCCGCCTGGTACGTGCCAACCGCACGTTGCATTTTTGACGTCGACACCAACAAGATCACCTGGGAGGATGTTCCGTACTTGGTGTACAAGCGCAGCGAGCAAATTGGCCACCAGGTCCGCACCTACCTCACGAAGAAGTGGGGTGTGGAGTTTGTGAACACAGGTATTTGGAACTACGTGCGCTACGTGATGCTTGCCGATGTGGTGATTAAGAAGGAGTCCCTTCCCACGGACTGGAAGGATCAGGCTGCCATCTTCTACAGCTGGTTCGAAAGCGTCGGCTTCAACCGGTACAACGGCCAGTACCTGCCGGACTTCATCGAAGAGCCAGCCCCTGGCACGGTGAACGTGTCACGCACCATGAAGTGGACTTTGCCCACAGATGTTCCAGAGCACCGCGTGCCTCCCAAGAGCGCGATGAACATCCTTCCCAAGTTGCAGCGCAAGAAAGTCGGTGCCATCGACATCTCCTTCAAGGACCCTCATCTTCCCATTGGAGTTACCCAACGCCGCTGCGATGCCTCGCAGCCGCTGAGCTACAGGGAGTGCGGGCTTGTTGTGGAGGACAACGGCGAGTGCAAGTGTTTCACTTACAACGTGCCCTTCAATCTCAAGACGACGCTGTACCTGGACAAGCTGATGGCCTGGATGAAACTTCCGGCTCGCGCATTCATGTACGGGCAGATGAAGTATTGGTCTGTGCCAATCGCGCCTGAGCAGATGGACTTCTTCTGCGACCGCACCCAAGAGGACTGCTCATTCGAGGTGTCCTTCTCGGAGAATGCCAAGGTGCTGCAGTGGTCGTGGTTCGGCGACCAGGAGAAGCAGATGTTCACGCCAGAGGGCATGGCAATCGGCGCAGCAATTGCACTGGCAATCCTTTGCCCAATCTTAATGCCAAGGCTGTCCAAGAAGAAGGCGGACAAGTTTTCCGAAAAGAAGCTGAACTGAAGAGGCTGCATCAGCC